TTGATTTTATTTTCACAAATCAATAATATTGTTGTAGAGAAAAGATCATTCCCAACTGTTCATGGTTCTTTTTCATTGTCTTTCTTTTCTTTTCTATATGTGTGGGCTACTTTGTTAAGAAGTATTTTCATGTACATTCAGTTTGAAATCTGAAATATATTGTATGAAAATATTTTTTTATGGACGTTGAATGTCAATAAAAAAAGCAAAAGAAACAACACCACATTGGGGACATATCACTGTGATAAAAACGTTGGTATTAGGTTTTATTCACTAGTTTTTTCTTTGACTCTTTCAACTGTGTCTCACAGCCCACATCAGCAGATGGAACTTGTTCATGTGTCTCAAATATGGCCCCATTACTAGTCACAACATCGACTTACTACAGGTCAGTGTAAAGTGGCTCTGGGACATGGTCAAAAACTGTAAAAATAAAGGCAACAGGGATATTTCATCACAAAGAAATGTTCTGTTAGACTTTAATTTTGGTAAATTAGATGTAGAATTATTCTGAAATGTATTTAAAGATAAAGAAACAATGAAGAATTCTTTATTCAGGGGGGTTAAAGTATTAATGCATTAACAAATAAGCAGTATTTTAATACTGGAGGTAGTTTAGAAATGCATAATAATTTATGGGTTTAGGGTATTTTGCATGTTGTAGGTATTTAATTTGCTGGACTAAACAAAAACAGTCCTGTCTAGTTATTTTATCCATAAACAATTTCTACTGTAATTTGCTAGAAATCTTTACTTCATACATCTGGATTTGTGTAAATTCATAATATGGTCAAAAAGCAAATTATGATGCAAGATTTTCTTACCTTCATTAAAAACAGAAAGTTGGAGTGAGTCACAGATCTCAGGACACACAGTTAGTAAAGATGATAGTCCAAACCTAACCTGAAACCTCCATCACCGTCATCCTCATTGGTACAGTATGGGCTCATGATCAAACTCTTATTCATAACCTCCTAACTTCAGTGATTAGCTTCATCTCAGCGTTCAGCAGTGCAACCATGTGAACACACTGCACATGTACAGCTCTGGTATGGAGTCAGAGTTACACCCATTACTGACAAACCAGTGTCAGCCAGTGTTGGAAAAGTTATTTATGTACATCTGTGTTTAAGAATTACCTACTCGTTACATATTACTCATTGAAAAAGTAATTGCATTAGTAATTGCTCAACAGCAAAAGCAACTAGTTACATTACACATGACTTTCCTTTTGTTACTCAGCCCAGCTCTGTTGAACATGTCTTTAAACAACAGCACATATTGTTTTCTGAATTTAATGCATGTAGAAATATAAAACAAGACGGGTTGCAGTTTCCCTAAAGTCGCAGTTTACCGACCATCAACAGCTAGCTTAACGTTAGCCTAGGTAACTCTACACAGCACTAGTTACATCCTCACAGTAAAGCTGTGGGGGTTCATGCGCCCTCCAACAGAACCAGATGAGTCCTGAATGTAGGCTCACCACCAGTGGCTAACGTTAGCAAGAGGACACAACGTGTAGGCTAAACAAGACAACTCTGGCATTACAAGGAGGCAAACAGCTTCCCCTGTATTACTGCCCAACACTGGCCACAGTCTTATTCATCACAACAGTCAAAGCCACAGCCATGCCTACAGCCATAATCACAGTGAAGGCCAAAGCTACAGCCATCCCATAGTTACTCATAATTACAGCTGCACCACATCATAACAGATCCTCCCCTAGTTATCTTAACATTAGCAGCAATTGTACAGACTTGGGTCCAGACCTTCCACAGCTGAGGGTGTTCACACTCATGCTAACAGTTACATTATACATAACATTACTGAGTATCATCATGCAGCTCAGTCTTCCTCTGTGGATCACAAAGAGCACAGAATTTAAAGCCAGGAAAAAGCTAAATTGATTGCGAGGTCACACAAAAGTAAAAATTGGCCAACGTTGTGACCTTAAAGGAAGAACATGGGTCAGGTTCCTGCTTCACCTGTCTGGTGAGCCATCCGTTCTATTGTCATGACACATACAGTAGATGAATAGCTATGAATACTGTTTTATCTATGTAGTAAACCATAATGTAGCGATACCATATTGTTCCTTTATTTCCTAAACAACACACATGGGCTGCACTGCATTGCTGAAATCATCCCACATGTAGTTGTGTAAAAGTGATGCCTTCTCTTCCCCTAGGAAACATTCACTCCCAATGGTTTATACTAGAACAGGTGTGGGCGGCTTTAATGAAGATTAGCATTGAATCTGACTGTGACCAATGGATATTAAAATATCGCTTGACCTTGCAAACAGGGTTTACAGTGCAAGTCTGCCACAGCGGGAGGCGGCTGCATGCAGCATGCCCTGCAATCCTCTGCACTCAGTAAGCTGAGGCAGAATTTATGGCCCCGCACACAGCCCTGAGCTGTATGTGTCGGTCTCCGCCGCGGATTACAGGACACACAAATGGTGATGCGTGGGTGTCCGGAGAGGTGCTAGACACTGATGTTTCAGGTTTCAAGGTTCAGCTGGAATTCTGTAGCTTTCTCATTGTAAGTGAATAATATCTTCCCAGGGGACATATACAGGAAATACTAAGTGCCCCAAGTCACTGTTGGATCATAAACACCTTCATGTTTGCTCTCTTATTCCCTCTCTGTCTCTTTGTTTGTCTCTGAGGAGCAATAGCATCATCCTTAACTTGACTGAAAGAAGGTAATTCCTCACCAGGATCCTGCCACAAGTCCAGCACCATCACATGTCAATACTATAGGCTCCGTCCATTAATCGAACCGAGCGCCGTTCTTTTACGAGACACAACAATGCTGGGGGAGCGAGCAGGAAGTCTGGGCAAACAGCTGAGTCTAACGTAATTCACCGCTGATCCAGACGCCATCATAAGATGTTTCGTGTGATGAGGCCAATCATGAAAAAATGCATTGACTAGCTTCCAGCCTTGCTCACATTAGATCATTTACTCTCCAACTCATATGTAGCTAACCATGCACTTTTTGTGATCCATAGACCTTTAAGGTGCTCCAGTCTTATGTTTATGGTTAACAATTTACAATATGGTACAGAAAAATGTAGTCATTGAGGAACAAATCAAGTTGAGAGTTAGTGAACTGTTACAGTAGAGTAGTTCCAGAGGCTCTGAGTCTCTCTTCTGATTGGCTGACTGTTTTCTGAGTGACTGAATAAAAATTAAGCTTTCAGTATACAGATTTCAGGTAAACACTCAGAGGAACCAAATCCTGCAAGGTTGGATGGTGGGTCCAGGTCTGGGTCAGGTTGAGGCATGAATGAATAAATTACATGTTAAAGAATATGTCTGGCAGGAAAAGGGAAACCTAATTTGAAGGGCAGTATTACAGACGCAAACACGAGTCATTTTTCTTTTTTCTTATCTCAAGTTAAATGGACCTTTTAGACATGGCAGGAAAAGCACAGGTGTAATCAGCTGTAGTCAGACAGTATACAATAACATTATACAGCAGTATATGATTGAATCGCATTCGGGTGAACTAGTTCCAGGACACTGTGCATGCCGGTCATGGCTTACTGGGACACATAATGGAGCTGGAAACTTTAATCTGTCTGAATCCAGGTCTGATGCTACTTGTGTTAAACAATAACATGACACTGGGAAATCCCTTTATCATTGTTCTTCCCCTTTTAGCAGATTTTTCAGTTCAAGTTATCAAGTTGTTTTTGATAATGGACCACAGATGTAGAGTTTCCCTTTCAAACACGTCCAGCTGCGAAGATGCCAAAGATGATGATGATAATGATGCAGGATGAAGTCTTCTACTCGTGTTGACCTGAGGAGAAGTCTCACTCAGACGTTGCGATGTTGTTGAGATGTCCTGATTGCATAAATAATCGGTGACACCTCATGATATGAGCATCAGTCTGTGGACATTAATCCAGAAGCTTCACATACCTGATAGCCATTATCAGTGACAACAGCACAGCCAGTAAACAGACAGTCCTCTGGGATCACACAACACTTGGTCACAGACACACTGTCTCCATGCTTATCCATCATGTGGAGTGTGTAACAGGATCTGGCATCTGGAGGACATGGCACGCCTTGATTTCTGGGGTGATTTACAACTTTGACACCATGCTCTCAATAATATTTTAGAAAGATAATCTGTTAAAACTGATCACTACCAGTCTTAAAACAGCACCCACTGTATTTATAAAGAAAATACACCTTACAAAGACCATGAAGACATCACACTAGGTTTACATCAATTTAACTCAAGCATTCATGTTTATAGGCCCTTTAACAACGGGTGTCATTAAATTCCACAAACCTCACTATTTTATTTCCTTTCTATTAAGAATGGGGAAAAGCATATCAGTTCCAGCAGGAAGTGGGAGGAGGACAGTCACTGGGGAAAATTAGGAGAAGAGACTCTGAGAAGCAGGACTAGACTGAGACAAACTAAACTGGTAGGAAGAGAGAATGAGATGATGGTTTTATAGTATTCAAAGGAAATTTGGAGAAATGAGATGGATAAAAAGAAACAGAAAAGAATAAACAATAATATCCAGATTCAGGTTTGGTCATACAAGAGTCAAAGGCATCTTCATCACAATTGGAAAACATAATAGGTAGTGTGACTTTGTGGGAAAAAAAAATAGACTTTAGTTATGAACATGAAAGAAAAGATCTAATAAGAGTGAACTTTGATTAGGACACTCTCAGGAGAAAAACGCTTTATTTTTATGTTCTTAGAACACACTTGTTTGATAGGATATTCTACGTGTATTCATTTATTTTATAAACATAATGATTTCATTTCTTTATATTATTCTTTTTTTGTCATTATATATTTTTATTATTCTTTTTGATCAGTAATAGCTCAGAATTAGAATCGCGATATGTACTCCACACCAGTTGGTGGCGATAAGACACCATTTCCTTGTTTGCCAACCGCCATTAAACGTCAAGAAGAAGAAGAAGAAGAGGAGGAAATGCAGTAGTGGGAGCGTAAAGATGGTTGCCGCTGTAACTAAGCCAAGTCAGGACCGAATGAGAAGCATCGGGTTTTTATATCCAATGTTTTATTTCAAAAACATCCGTGAATTAACATGTTTGTTTGTTACCGCTTGTATTTTGATGAGCCAGTCGTTAGCAGACGACCAGGACTTTTTGGAGGAGTTTCTGAAGCGGGAATATTCTCTGGCAAAGCCATACCGTGGTAGGTTATGTTAACTGTCAACTAGAGGTTACGTTGACGTTAGCTAGTGAACCTAAACTAAACTAAGTTGACATTAACCAACAATAGCAATTCATCCAATCATAAATGGGGATTTCGTTCAATTCGCGGATTACTGAATGTATTAATGTTAGCTGCTGCTGATAATAATTAACTCAGAGGAACTTTGAGCCTCTTCAGCACTAATCGTTATACATCTTAGCTGGTGTCACAAGAAGGGGTAGTTACTATTAGCCCACATCGAATAACTGTTAGCAAGTAAGGCTAACGTAACTTTAACCGGCTAAGTTACTTGTCTCTTAAAATTAGCTCCGACAAGTGCAACTCTCGTGAGTTGCCCCGTTCAGGACTGTAGCAGACACTCTGTAGAAGGCGATTCCGGAAGCTCCCGGAGGAAAGAGCCGGTGTACTGACGAGTTTTAAATTTTGCCTTGTTGGTTTCAATTTCCAGTTCCTATATCCCACAAAGCTATGACACCTCTATATATGTGATTCGGTTACAAACACCGGGGGGTGGGGGGGCATTTGGAGCAGATTTACTAAGTGAAGCTGTGTTGCTTAAAGTTTGTACAGACTGTATTATCAGAACCTTTGGGCGAGCTACTCTAAAACGGGGTGAGCTACTGATAGCTCGCGAGCCAACTATTGGTGACCCCTGCTGTATTAGAGCGCGTTGCTTTTCTTACTACCATCAAGCTCTTAAAGGTGATTAAGCAAAATCATTGATATATTGTTTTTGTGGCATATCACTGCACTGTATATACAGTTGTGAACACAGTATCTAACAGGTATGTTACTGTTTTTCAGGGTTGGGCTTCTCTAGTTCTTCACAGTGGGATCTGATGGGCACTGCCATGGTTACACCTGACCATGTTAGGCTGACCCCAGACCTGCAGAGCAGACAGGGAGCAGTGTGGAGTCGAATTGTAAGTCTATCGCCACAAACTGTAAAACCTACACTCTTACACTCATACACTCTGCTCTGTGTAAGTTGGCACTTAAACCTCTCACATCCTACCTCATACTCACACAGTTACTCTGAAATGAAAATCACACATTATTGCATTTTAAAAATCGTACAGACCTTTAGAGTGTACATTTACTGACTGACATTCATCCTGTGACAAAATAATGGTATGTTACTCAGCCTTGTTGACCAACTTACTGCATATAGCACACCACAAGAATAACCTGTTTGTCTTCATTTTTGTTGCTTTTTAGCCTTTCTTCTTGCGTGATTGGGAGCTTAAGGTTCACTTTAAAATCCACGGTCAGGGAAAGAAGAATTTAAACGGGGATGGACTGGCCATCTGGTTAACCAGAGATCGCATGCAGAATGGTAGGTACAGACCCTATAGGTGTCTTATACAATGAAAAGGAAGTAGATGCTAGAGATTATTTAATGTAGTCTGAAAAAACAGGATAGAATCTTGGTGCCCAAAAAGGAAAAATCAAACATTTTAGGAAAATGCACTTGTTTGTCATCTTACTTTGCTCAGGCAGATGATATGATTGATACATCTGTTTCATCTCTGTATGCCCTGTACAAAAGTGATGTAGGAAACCAAATTGTGGCTGCACATATGCACTCTCAGCTTCAACACTAACTAACTAAACTAACTAACTAAACCACAACAACAATTTTCCATGTGTACACATTGAAAATACACAAGTTACAATGTGTAAATAAGACCTCAAGCCTGAAGAACTAAAACTTATGTGGATGTCTTTAAGTCAAAGTTTTGTTTCCAATGCCCTGTTGGGATTCGATTTTCAAGGGAAATGGGGCAGGTTCAATATTACTTGCACCAGTGAGTGATTTTAATCCTGTCATGAGGACCCCCACTAGTATAATTATAACCCCAATTACCTACTATTTTTCACAAACACTTTGTCCAGTTCCATCAGCTCAGCGCAGGGAAGACATAGAAAGGGACGTTGCTAATCAGATAGATCACTTGCCACCATCAGTCAGCTCAGTGAAGGAATATGTAAAGATAAACACTATGAGCACAGTACAAGCTCACCAGTGTCATGTCACAGGTGATTCTGTGTTTAATGGTTTACCTTTGTATTGCTGAGGTGATTCCATGTGGAGTAAGCTACAGGTACTAGGGAAGATACCAGTCCTTCTCTTAGTGAAACAGCAGAGCATTCAGAGATATTCACAGAGACATGTAAGCAGTTCTTAACTCTGTATGTGTGTGTTCTTATAATTAGATTACGGCTAAATAATAACTAGTAAATAATATTAATAATATTAATAAAAAATAATACTTAACTCACCTGTGATGAAGGTTGCATATGATTCTCTCTGTTGCCTGTTATAGGACCAGCTCCTATAATTTGCCAGTGGCTAAATTTCTGTCTAGAGCAGCAACTGTTATGACAAAAGAGGAGGGGGAAATATTTTAATTATTCACTAGGGCTGACTTGATTTTGTCTGAGAGGGGGGCACATTGTCAAACTTTGACAGACTTTGTTATCCCTGTATTTAAACTGATTCTTTTTTCCAAACAGTCAAAAGCCTGAAGATACTCAGGTTACTATCACAGAGGACAAAGAAAACTTTCAAATTCTCGATTTGAAAGCTGGAACAAATTAATTCTTTGGTATTTTTGCTTAAAATTGACTTAAATGGTTTTTCTTTTATTAAATTTGTTGGTGCATAAGTTTCAGCTCTTATCATGCCTGTAAAATTATTCCTGTCTGAATTGGACTTAGGATTGTTGCTTCACATTGGTGTTGAAACTGTGAAGTGCCCTAATGTTCCTCACTGTCTTTGCAGGTCCCGTGTTTGGCAACATGAACCAGTTCATTGGACTTGGAATATTTGTGGACACTTACCCCAATGCTGACAAGACCCATGATGTGAGTGACAGATGTTTAATGGCTGTGGTACTGTGGTACTGTTGGTATTTCTCTATAGTTACATGCTACGTTTCCTATAGACTCTATTGCGTTCTATCCTGCCATTTTTGTCTTTACTGAGGAAGATCAATAGGTTAAAAGTGTGTCTGTCCTCAAAAATTATACAACTTCTGGCAGTAGCACATTAATTTGTTTGTGCTGGATTAATGTCATCCAGCCAAATCTGACCGACACAACTTAAAAGAATGCCAGGGTACAAGCTGCATGTGGCCTCTTTATTTACCCTTATATACTGATCTCAAAGATGTGTCATATTTCTTTTCCTGCATCCCTCTTATGAATGTGAAGAAGACGCAGCCTGGAGTTCAGGTAGAATCAGAAACTGATGTTTATTCCACGACCTGAGCCTCTGAATGTCCATCCATCTTGAACTGCTCACCATGTCATGCCATTTCAGTATCATCATCATCATCATCAGTGGTGTTTGGTGTAATTGTGATACTATAACCGAAACAACAATGCGATTGTGCGTTTGTGAATCTACAGATAAAGGTGTCTATGTTGTATCTCCCCTGTCTTTCTCACAGAGGACTTTCCCTTATATATCTGTAATGCTGGGGAATGGGACTCTGTCCTATAACCATGATCATGATGGACGGACCACTGAACTTGGGGGGTGCACTGCTATGGCGCGCAACGCAATCTACGACACGTTCCTCCTCGTCAGACTCTCCAAAAACAGACTCACGGTATGAAACTGCAATGACAAAGTAAAAATATGTTTTTAAAAACTTTAACATATACATATATACTCTGTAGAAGCCTCTTTGGCACCAATTACAGCTTCAAGTCTTCTTGGTTAAGTCTCATCAAGCTTCACACACCTGGATTTGGGCATCACATTCTTCCTGATAGATCCTCTCAACCTTCATCAGATCAAATGGAAAGTGTCTTTGAACTGTCATCTTCAGGTCTCTCGTCAGATGTTCTACGGGGTTTAAGTCTGGGCTTTGGCTGAGCTTTTCAGTGACACTCCAGTGTTGTTGTCTTTAAATGTTACATTGTCGTGTCATAATTTAAAAAAAAATAGACAATTACTGAGTGGCCCATAAAATGTTGAATGTTCCATCATTGGAAAGTGATAGATTTCAAACCCGGGCTAGAGATGGGAATCGAAAAACGGTTCCAGTTGAGAACCTGTTCCAAATTGTCGAACCATCAGAATCGTTTGCCCCTGAGCTTATAAATTCCTTTTGTCAATGCCGGCATGTTTTCCAGAGCTTATGATTAGAACGCTGCATTGGCAATCTAATTCCCTTTTTGCAGTAACATTAGCAGGTATAAGCTGTTTTTTTTTTTTAAACCAGTTAAAAAAAGATGATGAGTCATTTTACACTGCCAGCCAGGTTTGAGTCTCTGTTCGGAGAGGACACACACACACACACACACACACACACACACACACACACACACACACACACACACACACACACAACTGCAGGGAGCAATGTCATCACATGAACACAGAGGACACACACACAGACACAGGTTGAAAGAGTGAGCTGCTAGCTGCTGTGCAGACTGGTAAAATGGATCCGTCACATCTCATCCCCGGGTTGATGCTCCTGTAAGTGTCGGAGCCTCCGTGGGAGACGCTTCCATCTGTCAGAGTGTGTTTTTTAAAACTTATTTCGGCCCTGCAGCTCTCACTCTTTCATCCCCAAGCACATTGTAGCCACAGTGCTTATGGTTTAACAGCACCGTGCTGGACAGGTGACAGCACAGAAAAGGGGCAAAAATTTGTGTTTTCACCTGGGTGTTTACATCACTACCAATCGTAGCCAATAAATAGAATAAATATTGTTTGTTTATACCTCATTCTGTTCTGTATTGGTCTACTTATTCTTAGACCGACACAAACAACAAGCAAACTCTTTTAAAGGAGGGAGGACTGTAGTGGGAGAACTGGGATGTCAGGTGTGACTGTGTGGCAAAAACCTATGTAGGCCTCCTTTTTGCTTCACACAGAAAATTGATGAGGAATCATTAAGGAATCGATGAAGAATTACACAGATAAGTAGAATCAATAATGGCATTGGTCTCAATAAAATATTATCAATTCCCATCCCTCCTGATGATGGTTCGGTTTGGTTTGCTTGGTTTAAAAACCTATGAAATATAAAAGATGAAAAACAGTTTATAAAGATAATCCCTAGCATGTTTTTTTTATCCTTCATCTGTGACTCATGCTGACCGTTCCTCTGCCTTCTAGCTCGTGGTGGATGTGGATGGTAAGCAGGAATGGAAACACTGTGCTGACGTCACAGGAGTGCGGCTACCTCCAGGCTACTTCTTTGGTGCCTCCTCTGCCACTGGAGACTTATCAGGTATAAAGAATTATCTGAAGGCTGCTTAACCACTGGAAACCTCTGTTTAATTAAGTTAAATCGAATGAAACTTTAATTAGATCCTAAGGGAATTTGGGTTACAAGCACTACAGTCAAAGCAGTTCCACTTAGTTGACTGGTAAGATGGGAAATAAGCCTCTCTCCCAAACTCCACAGGAACATTCAAATGGCACAAGTGGTTTGTATGAATTCTTTTGTCAAGTGTTAATAACTCACTTGTGCATGTTGCTCCAGATAACCATGACATAATCTCCATGAAGCTGTACCAGCTGACAGTAGAGAGGACTCCTGAGGAGGAGGAAGAGGAAGAAATCACCGTACCCAGAGTTGACAACATGGAACAGTTCCGAGGTAGATGCACCACAATCACCTCACCTCGACTCTCAGTCCTTTCATGGGTCACAGTGATAATTCACAAACTGTTTACATCTTATTTATTTTCCTCGCTGTGTTTCTCACAGCAGATGGAGTTGTCACAGAATTATAGATATTTCAATTTGTATTTCTTTCTGAGCTCTTTAAGGACTTAATGTTCATGTTGGCTTAAAAGTTGAGATCAATTTTTTTTTTTTTAACCTTTATTCAGGTTAGGTTCACTGAGAGGCAAGCTCTCTTTTACAGGATCGCTGTGATCGCATTTACACAGTTACACACATTCACACCCAGAACAGTCTGACCTGTTGGCCACTGAGCAGCTCCACTGGAGCAATAGGGGTTAAGGGCCTTGCTCAAGGGCACCACAGTGGTGAGGGTGAGTCCTACTCTTGACACAAAAAAACAGAGTGGGCTGGAAAACGCTCCAGGCCATCCTCATGACCCAGCACGGGATGGGCTGGTGTAGATTAGGGATGAATGGATGGATGAGACTTTTGCAGTGTCTCATAAGCGTGACATAAACCATTTTAACGACAATTTAGTGCCAAGTAATAATTTCGTTCTAAAGCTTTGGAAAACATGATTCATTTTTTGTGGTATTACTCTGTAATATTAAACATTCATTACTAAATGTGCAACAATCAAAGTTTGAAAAAAAAAAACACTAAAGTATTATTTACGAAATACTTCACACTCAAAAAACAAATCTGCTTCATCTGATCTTCAAAGCTGTGGTTTGAACAGATTTGATTGACACTGGCCAGATGAAAAACCATCACCAGATCTAGATTCAAATGCTGTAAAATCCTGATTGGTCCACAGAAATGCATGACATCACCTTTTTCCATTTGTTTGGCACACTTTAAACTAGTGAGAAGAACTCAGACTAAAACACAAATACAGAAAGTCTCTCGGATGAAATAAGAAAAACTGTTGGAAGAACATTTTGTGTTCATGTAGGACAGTATTGCTGATAAGAAGCTGATTGAGAAAACAGGTTTTCAGGACCTGTATTAGGAAGCTGAGCAGAGTATCTATCTGATTATAGTTACTTGATTATAGACTGGTTTAAAAATGTGAACAGAACTCAGCCAATATAAGCGGTCAGGTGCTGGTTGGTCGCAGGAAGATCTAAAATGAAAATCATACTCAACCACAATAAGGCTCCTTTTACCAGTTAGAAATGTTAGTAACTCATTAATAAATGCTTGTAAAAATGAGATGATGAAACATGAAGATGGATGTGGGGAGAATCAGCTCAGTGAACACCAGAGTATGAATCTGGTCATTTGATATGTGTAAGTTGATCTGCCAAATGAAACTTTTTGACCATTAAGATGCTGACGGTGGTTTATTTCTAGTAACTTAACAAACATGTGATGAAGCAGCAGGTACAAATGCTTGATGATGGAGGAAAACAAAGAAAGATAACGAACTAATGAGATATGAGGCTTAACAGTACAGAGAAATGTGAGCTCACTATTTGGCAAGCAACAGGTCACTGTTGCCCTTCTTATCTAATGTGTTATAACAGCTTATACATGATTTATAAAGTGTTAAAAAGCTAATTAATAAACCATTCAAAAACATACATAAGGGTAATCTGATTGTAAAGTGGCACCAAAATCCCTTTTTCAATAAGTGGTTGTACAAACTTAAAGTGAACACTGCTGGAGACCCTCATCTGTTTGGTAATGACTCTATCATCCTTTTGCCTTGCAGTGGAAGTCGAGGAGGAAGGGATGAGCGGAGTCCAGTTCTTTTTCACCCTCCTTTTCTCCATCCTGGGCCTAGGTGTGCTGGCAGTGGTGGGACTGATGGTTTACGGGCGCTGGAAGGAAAACAGACGTAAACGTTTCTATTGATAAGAGACCAAGTGAACCATGTGGGTTTTTCAGAATGTGTGTTTCTTAATCAACATACATTACAACAATGCAAAGACTTGCCATAGCTTTACTGAAACTATCGAATGAACTGAATGAACAACCTCATGGGTCTGAAGCCCACAGCCTAGAGATCATAAACTGCCGAGATGAACAGGTGAAGAGATCATGAACAGGTGAGCCAGCTGTGAAATATATATTTTTTTTTTAGAATTTTTTTTTTTTTTTATTATTATTATGGAAGGTAAAGCTGCTCAAGTTGATTTTTTTGTGTTAAAATATGCTCATCTCAACTTGAAGCACAGTGAGGTTGCAGCATCCCATATCACTAACTGACACTAGATTTCAGACAAACAAAAACTTCAGAATCAGATGCTGTATGTAGTTTATTGACGCCATGTTACGGTACTGAAGTGTAGTTACCTCCTACGGCCACTTGGTGCTGCCAGCGTGCAGCTTTAAATCTGACCTGTACCTGCTGTGAAGACTAATCAGCCTGTGGATCATTGCAGACGTGTTGCTGCACTGAAGAAGTTTCAGTTGTAGTGACCTCTTCAGTGAATCTGAGAGCACTTTATGAGCCAGGCAACGCACTTACATCAGCTGTGGAGGTTGTGTGACCTGTTTTTAAATGTATGATCAATGACACATCACATTATGTTGTACATGAAAGTAATGATTCGAGTCACCAGTGCTGTTTGAAGTGCCTAGCTAGGACCGATAAAGACAAGGTGTTACTTTATGTTGTGGCCCTGTCTGCAGGTTTAAGCTCCCTTTTCTTTTCTATTTAACATCTCAAATGATTTGGCTTCATTCACTTTCTGAAGTTACTAACAGTTCCGTTATGATGGAGTTGTTTATCCAGATCAAAAATCTCTGTTTCTGTGGCACTGAATTTCATCAGACCCCAGTCAATAGAAAATATTTCACTATTATATCAGCTAATTCATTTGTGATGATGTTGCTTTGGGATTTGAATCCAGGACGCACTGTGAATTGAATAGCCATATGCAGGATTATGTTGTCAAATGCGCGTTTGAGTTAAACTGAAGAGTATGTGAATATGAATGCTGTTTACTGTTTAGTTGTGTAACCTGTAATATAGCTGTTAAAATGATGCAGGGCTTTTTCTGCCAAAATACAAGCTGGTGCCTTACCCACGGTGTCCAGTGGACGCAGCTCTGTCACATGTCTGTTCCTTCTCAGCTGCTACAGACGCTCCACTGACTCTCCAGCTGGTGTGACAGTCAGTGAGCTTACATGCAGTCATTTTTCTTGACTGTCGTGTAAATGAGAAACTTTGTGTTCTGTTATCAGGGAGGATGATGAGGTTAACCTAGTTTCCTCAGGTAGATTGTTACAGAATGCTGAACTCTGGCCCTGTTCAGACCTGCATTAACAAGCGTCTTCAGTGCTTCAGAGATCCGCTCATATGTGGTCAGCTCTGAGTTCGTCAGTTCACACCTGCTTTAAAATGAGTCTCCATCAGATCTCACTTCCTGCTTTATATGCAAATAAACAGGTATGCGTTGATGTTTCTGGACAATCTGACAGATGGGTCCATTGTCAATGTGCTTGTGTGTATGTGTGTGTGTGCGCAGGAGAGAGAGACAGAGAGAGAGAGAGTGAGTGGGGCATGGAGGGTTTGAACGAATCATCGCACTGTGCACAGCTCTAATGAAATACAGTTTTATCCATTTGAAATATCGAAATATTTTAGGTTCATTATGAAACTGTGTTGGGACTAATGAGACTGTGGCAGAGTGGAGTGGACGGTCCTTCAATGTGGCCCAGGACGTATTTGCGTTCACACTGCTAAAAGAATGTGGCCACATGTGGTCCAGTCCAACTCTGAATGTGGACTGAGTGACCAGATCTCAAATGCGTCCTCAGGCGTGTTCACACCTGGACTTAGAGCTGACCACTTGTGATCGGATCACCTGAGACGGATGTTAACACCAGGTATGAACAGGGCCTCTGTCATGTGTGTGGGTAACCAGGTCTGCATGTGCACGACAAATGACTGCAGACAGACAAAGTAACAGGAGCAGCCATAAGAAATGACAGATCATTACAGAGCAATGTGTCCAACCAAAACCTGACTAAACTGCAACTAATGTGCAGTATCCTCTAGAAGTCTTAATAAGTCTGTTCCACCACTGAACATTTGACTGTTTGTGATACGCACAGTGCTGCCTAAAGTCATTAAAATAAGTCAAGTACAGCCAAAGGTATCATGAATAAGCATCTGCTTGTAAAACACAAAGAAAACAAAACAGCTGAAAACAATACTGGAAGTGTGTTTGCTGACTGATTAAACGTGACACAGAGACATCCACAGGACACAAGGGGTTGTACAGACAGGACTTTTTCACAGCAGACATTTTAACTTGTCACAGCGGGAAAGCCACAGGTGTTACAATACCACTAACAATGGCTGTGTTGTAGTCAAGGGTCCCAGTAAAACATGACCAGCATGAGCAATAGCAGGACCCTGACACTGAAGCAGCTAAATGGAATTCATCCGTCATTCATTTTATTATTTACACCTTTGCTTCTTACTGTGACATGTCAAAGTGTCTTCCTTCTAAAACCGGGGGCCTGTAGTCACTGCAACTGAACTGAAAAATTATCATTTTTATTTGACACATTTTTCTTCCTTGTCAAAACCCAAAGTCCGCATTACCCGCAGTGCAACGCAACCACCGACAGTTCAGTCGTATGTAGGTGTATGTAGGTGTGTTATGCTAGTAGCCGCAGGCCACTGTCAGTGTTTTGTGACCGCAGGCCTCTGCTGTGTGACGTTTTGTATTTTTCTAAACAAACCTCATGTTCATAGCCAAAGGCCAAAAACTGTACAAGCCCCATCTGATGAAAAACTACTGTCCAGTTTGACCTGTGTGTGTTCATCTGCGGAGTTCACAATAACACTCTGCAAGTGTGTCATGAAAATCTTCCAAGTTGCACTAACACAAGACAACAAGCAGGTTTAAACAGAGCGCCAGCACTCAGTCTATTAATTAAGGAATTAACTAATGTCAGTAGGTAGGAGGCCATTGCAGATACAAAGTAGCAGCTCCAGAGCAGGACAGTAGAGTACCTTTTACTAAAGCATATAACACCCACTTCTTTGTTAGAATGAGATATCCGTAGGAGTGTTAATCAGGGAGATTTTCATGGAGTTGTATTGTGTGTCATTTTGGTTCTCATAGCTGTTTGAAGTTGTGTCAATCAGTAGTAGATTATAATTAAAACCACTTTGTGTTCATGCTTACAGTTACAACTGTATCAACTGCTTCTTGAAGTTTTGTAGAAAGTCTGACAGTCTGTTTCTTTCTGAAAGGTTTACTGTTATTTCTCTTTTCCTCTAATTGTTATGTAGGTGCTTTTTTGTTCTTTACTGAATGTCAAACTGTTTGTCCTTTATCATTAAATTCACGAGCCATCATCAGGGCGAATGGGCCTGTAATTAATTATTTAAATATTACTATTAAGCGAATTATACTTTTAATTTGCTAACCAAATCTTTGTCTAAACAAACTGATAAATGTAAGTGAAGAGCTCAAATTCTTCCTGCTCCTGTGTCTAATTGTTTGGGTTTTTTTTTTTTTTTTTCAATAAAAGTTTCTACAGTGATTTAGCTCATGTGGTAATGGATTTTTTTTCTCTCCAAAATCTTTTTTATTGATACTTCATAAATGCTTTATATGTTAAAAACCAAGATGCTAATGCATTTCCTAATCCAAGGTTGGATAAAAAGTGTGCACACCTCATCGACACAATTCCTCCCTACTGGATTACTGCAACGCCCTCTACCTGGGTGTTACCCAGTTCACCCTGTCTCGACTATAGCTGTTGCTGAACGCTGCACCCAGACTGTCAACTGGTACCAGGAAGAGAGACAGCATCTCACCTGTACTTGCAATCCAGTACCAGTCGAATACCGTATCGAGTTTAAGGTTATTGTATTTATTTTTAAAGCCATACACCAGTGGTGGCCAAACTTTTTTGAATGGGGTGCCAGATCTGATAATGTGAAAATACCTGGGGGCCACGCCGTGTGAAAAGCCACTTCAGGGAGGCCAGGCTAAGCTTCAAGATGTTTCACATTCTCCACCCGTTCCCACGGCAGGGCAGTCGCTGGTATGACTTCGTCTCATATTGTCTCTTCACATTGAAGAGCAACAGTCACTTGGCAAATGAGACACAAACAGTTTTGAGTTTCAGTGAAAAAAAAATGGCGGCGCTCACTGTCGACTTAACGCTTCTTTGCTGTGGTCAGGTCTGCTACCGAGCAGCACATGTCTGTTCCCTGTTTACGGTCTGTCTTATGAAAACATCACTTCCACCTGCATTGTAAAGATGTCTACGAACTGTAGGACAGTGCTGCCATCTTGAGGTGAACGGGAAAAACGCAAAGTGAACTTGTTTCATTAACCGATACAGTGCGGTGGGCCACAGTTAGTATTTTTTGAGAGACAAGCTGCGGGCAGTTTAAAATTTGCCCTTTGGACATGCCTGCCTTACACAGTCTGGCCTCCGTGTAATGCACTTTCCATCCCCAGATCCCTCATATCCTCAGAGCAGCTGCCCCTGGCTGTCTCCTGGGCGAGGCTATGGGGAAAGAGTGATCAGGCTTTTGCAGTAGCTGCCCCAAAACCTTGGAACAGTTTACCAAAATGATTAATTGCCCCCCCCCTTCCCCGGTCAACATTTTTAAGACTAATCTTAAAACCCAGATGTTTTCGTTGGCTTCTGAGTTTCCAGAAGGTTTTATCTTTCACTTTTATCCCTTGTGTTTTTATTTCAAACTGTTCACTGTGTGTCTCAGACTATGGGATAGTTAATGCATCACATTTTAGTTGTTTTTATGTGTGTTTTCATTGTCTATTATTGTACAACACTTTGGTCAACTCTGATTGTTTTGAATCTGCTTTTTGAATAAACTTGGTTTGATTTGTTTTAATAAACTGCCAACTGAGTGTATGCATGTACAGTAGATAGGCTAATGGTTTCAGAAAGTATTCATTAAATTATTAAATACAGTTTTAATGAAATAAAACCTGTTTGTTTTTAGAAATTATTAGCAAATTCATTAAAATGCTTATATGTGTGTGTTTAACCACAGGAAGTAAAGGACTCAGATAAATAGGTGATAAATTCATCTAATATTTGTTTTCTGACACTGACTCAGCAGCTCGTCTTGCCAAGTGTGGACGTCCCTCCTCCTCAGTGTCGTGTCAAGTTGGTATTTCTTACTGCCTGTCAGTGGACAGGTGTCCTCCTCCCTCCCGTGTCTCTTCCTCATACCTGTCTGTCCTCAGTTAACACTGGGAATGGTAGGAACAGCATCAAAACACAGCTCAGTAACTGGAATATCACTGGATACAGTGTAGTTAAGGTAAGACCTCAGATGTTTCACATGTTTTATCCTTTTTTTTTTATTTCTTCCTAGTAATTAAACTGTGAATTTATACATGTTTCTATAAAAGTGTAAAGACCAGCTTTATATGTGAAGAACAAAACACAAACACAAAGAAGATTCAGAATGGTATCACTTTAAAGTGACTCAACACAGTATATGTAATATTGCTGGTGTTTTTAAAAGCAGGCATTTGGATAAGTCTAATTAGAAAAAATCTCAAACTTTATTGTGACATTAAGTGTAAATGGAAAAAAGAAATATTCAAACAAAAAATCTACTGATATATATAAAGATAAAGACCAAGGCTACTGTACTGGACATTTAGGCACAAACAAATGGAGATAAGAGCAGGAAATAATGATTAACTGAGTCTGAGTAGGTCACAAGTGTCCATTGTGCCTCATAGCTGAGTGTTTTCATATCAAACAGTGGTGTCCTGTAAACACTGTGCAGCCAAGAGGAGCAGCACCTTCACTTGTTTTCCTTTACACGTATTTAAGGAGATTTTCCAGACTGACAATTTTTCTACATTGTGTTTTTCTAAAGAAATCTGTCTCCTCTTCCAGATCGTATCACAGTGGAAGATTTTCAGGATGAATCGCACCTGTGTAAACTGCTGGAAAACTATGATGATAAATCTGAACTTCCTCTGCTGGGTAGGTGGTTGAAGACGGGAATACACTGCAGCCACACATCACACTGCCAGACCCCACCGCTGAGGGGGAGTTGTGAAAGTGTAATGCTTGTTACAGCCAGTAGATACAATGGGATATAGAAACCTGGATTATGTCCTTTCTTTGACAATTCAGAAACGTATTATGGTCACTTTCTGTTCTAATGGATGGCTGAAATAAAGTTCCCCTGAAGGAGAGAATGGCAGCAAGAATCCTCAGAGTTAAGCGAAAGATAAAAGTAAAACTCCTTCACTTTCGCTCCCAGACTTAATAAATTCTATTTATTTGACTCAACAGTGCTCCTCAGTGTCAGAGAGTCTGTGAGATTGGTTGAGAGCAGATCCTCGATGACAGATAAATGGCCGAGCACACCCACGCTTTCTGTCTGAAGCAGAATAATTAAGAAGAAAGTAGTTTTAGTCTATAATTTGCATTTTATTTGGAGTCACTGTCTGAACGTCTTCATTGTCTGCACTTGTCACTGTGGAACGATAAATTCTCCTTATTATATGATTATATGATTGAAGCACATTAGGTGAATTGGCGACTCTTAAGTGCCCATAGGTGTGAGTGTGAGTGTGACTGGTTGTTTGTCTCTGTATGTCAGCGCTGTGATGGACTGGTGAGGAAGAAAATACACATTTGGGTAGTTGGGACTTGACGCCTGTCTGTCTGCCCTTTTCTATTGAAATCACCTTGTTATCCTGTCTGGCCACACGTCTGTAACCCCAAGTCAACTGTATTTACATACTGTTGACCCCCCCCCCCTCCTTTTTTTTTTTCTTCAACTGTATAACTGTCCCCCTGCCCTTCACTCTGGGTCAGTCTACCCGCTCTGTGTCAGTTGGCTCACCGTATCCTGGGATACCAATAAACTCACACCACTACAGCGAACCTGGAATTAAGGACTTGAGTGAATTTTCACTGGCGACCTGTCCAGGACATACCCCGCCCTTGCCCCAATGTCAGCTGCGATTGGCTCCAGCCCCCCCGCGATGATAAGCAGTATAGCTAATGGATAGATGGATGGTTTAATATAGCGTCAATGCCATACTTTTTGTTTGCCAGCATTTAAAGGACAGTGAGCGGAGAGGGAAAAAATAATCTCTGGTCTGATGAGACAAACATTGAACCCTTTGGACAGAACTCCAAACACTGTCTGACAAACACCATCACCTGGTTAATACCATCTCTACAGTGACATACGGGGGTAGCAACAAACCGCCTGGGAGGGGGGGGGGTTTCTCAGTGGCAGGGACAGGAAACCTGGTCAGAACAGGGATTGAATGCAACCAAATACAGAGAGGTCCATGAATAAAGGGCCAGAGTGCATGCAACCTGAGGGTGGGCTGACAGTTCACCTTTCAGCACGACAATGACTCGAAGTGGCTTTGCGACAAGCAAAGTAACTTTAGTGGTTCCCAACCTGCAGGTTAACTCTGCAAAGCATCACTAGAAAAATCGGACTGTTTTTTAGATGACTGAAGTGTCATGAAATGTGAAAAAGTGTTGCGACACAATTTTTATTGATTTTTTTGGATTATTTTTTTTTGGTGAAGTTATTTAAACGAAACCATGTGAGAAGTTTAAAGGGAAAATGTGTCTTTGGTGTAACTGCTGACAACGCAGATATCTGAAATGTGACAAGGGACCTCAACTAAATACAGTTTTATGTAAGAATACTGGGGACCACTGCTTTCATCTGTCTCCTGGCTTTCAGGACAGAGTCTCAGTGTATTGTGGATCAAATCTAAACTCACAGACTGACACTGCGAGGCGTCTTTTGTCTGTCCTGTGCGTGCTGCAGCTGTGTGGTGCGTTCGTGGTGGCTTTCGGGGAATTCCAGATGATACACTCCAAGTTTTCCTCCCTCATCACCTCCTTCTGGCCCATCTACCCCGCCAACACTCTGGTTGTCACGGGTACCATCGTTACCTGTGTGTGCTATTTGGGAGTGTTAGGAGGCATGAGGGAGAACCGCTGCATGCTCATCAGTGTGAGTGTGAAGCATGATATTTATTATAACATGAAAACTGCTTATATGTGTGTTTAATGAGCTCGGCAGTTCATTTTAATGCATCGGTTGTACAGACTATACAGACTGACTCCTGTTTGAATCTGATTTGCACTGATTTCAGTTTTTCGTGCTGCTGTTTATTCTGATGCTGGTGGAGCTGGCCATGGCCTGTGTGTTCCTGGTCTACAGCAGAGAGGTAGGAGAGTTTATACGTAGCCTTCACAAATATACATTTATAAATGGTTAGTTCCGGGTGTTGATTTGGCATATGTTGGGCCAGAAGTTTCATTTTGCCATCTGGGACAGCTCACTGTTCTTAGTTAGCGGTATGTAACGCAGCCTGTGTCTCTGTTGTGCAGATTGACACGTACTTTGAGAAGGACCTGATGCGAAGCCTCGAGATTTACAGACAGTCCAGTCCTGAAGGCAACAAGACCATTAAAGATGACTTCAATGCTGTGCAGCACCTGGTAAATGATTCACTGCTATTCACACATATTCTCTATATAGATATATTTATATCTCCATACATTTTGAGTATATTTTACTGCAGATATTTTACACAACATCGTATTTATTTCAGTATTAGTCATTCACTTTCCCCTGCCCAGAGAAATACATGTCCGTTGCACTGAAGTAGCTTGTTTTTGTACAGTTCCAGTGCTGCGGAGTTCATGGTGTGGCCGACTGGAAGGGGAACGTCCCAATCTCCTGTTGCATCAAGGACCCCTGCAACACCCTCATCCACAGCAACTGGCAGGAGGTTATTAGTCCATCTACATTTCTGTTTGTTTTTCACATTTTAATCAGTGAACAGCCGATGATTCTTCCCCTCTTTCCTTAATCCTGTCTGTCTCTGACTGAGCTGTGAGCTGGGCTGTGCCTGTAGTGATTTGGGACATGAACCTGCAACTGCTGACAACAAGTAGGAAAGTAAAAAAAAACACCACCTCTGATAGCTGCTTAGAACTGAGTCGGGATAATACTTGCTCAGACATTTTGCTGCCGGTGCTCATCTGTTTGAGAATCATCACGTATGGGATGTTTCTTTCAAATGGCAATTGAAGGCGTCAGTTCTTCTACTGCTCATGGTGTTGTAATGGTGCTGCAGGCCATAGATGTCAGAGGAGTCTTACATCTTCCTGCACCAGTCTGCAGAGCACATCACATATATATACTGTAAGCTCTCTATTATACCCTGCATGTTCCTCTACAAGGGCGGCACAGTGGTGTTAGTGGTTAGCGATGTGGTCTCACAGCAAGGAGTTTCTGGGTTCAAACCCGGGGTCTTGCTGTATTGCACATGCTCCGCGTGCCCGCGTGGTTTCTCTCAGGTCCTCCGGCTGGCTCCGACAGTCCAAAGACATGCAGGTTAATCGGTGACTGATTGGCGAGAGTGAGAATGGTTGTTTGTCTCTATATGTCAGCGCTGTGATAGACCCGCGACCTGTACCCCGCCCTCGCCCCAATGTCAGCTGGGATTGGGATAGGTAGGAGAATTTGTGTCTGTCTGCTGTTTGGTGCTGGGCAGGTAGTGTACAGGTTATAGAGCTCTTTTTTCTTTTTTTTAATGAAAGTAGTCGCCTGCTGCAACTGAAAACGTTGTCATGAGATGAATGAGATTGAGCCAGAACTGTAAAGGACCAGAACAGCTGAACAATAAAATGAAACTTGCTGTAGCATGAATCAGTGTGTGAATGTGTGTGTATGGTAGAAAAAAAACGCTGTATGAGTGTGTGTGTGTGTGTGTGTGTGAATGGCTGAAATCAACGAGTAATGTAAAGTGCTTTGAGTGGTCATTAAGACAAGAAGAGGGCAGTCCATTTACCATTCAACTCCTGCAGCACTTACAGTAAACAGAAACCTTTGTATGATGTAGTTTTTATGTTGCATCCCGTTACCGTTCACATATAAAGTTCCTTTAAATGTAAGTGTTTTTGGGGTGGGTCGACGCCACATCAAATGGACACATTTTGGGACAAGGTTCCTTTTGTATAAACTTAAGGACCACCCTTTACATGCACTTTTCAAGGCACCCATGTTCTCTATTGGGCGTTCCCCACCAGCCTGAGACAATGCTCGGCCGGAAGCCATGTGACCGTAGGCCCCACCCATCTTTGAAGAAGTCCCCATAGGCAGATACAGTATGTATGTGTTCACATATGATTGGCCACATATGATTTTTTTCTGTCTCATACTTTTCCTACTTAAATGTTACTTGTGATGTGTTCTGTGATGATTTTAATGAAAGACCACAAGAAACACATCTGTCTAATAAAGCGGTCTGTTTACAGCAAGTGCTGCTGGAGCTTTGACCTCTTTAGACATTCTCCTTCCTCCATGCACCTTGGAAGGAAGTTGTGCCAGAAACCTGACTTTGCTTAAGGAGGAATGACTACAACAAGCAGACAGCAAACCTGCTTCAGTGTTTCTAAGACAGACTTGATCCAGTAAGTGGTGTTGTGTTGGCTCTGAAACCAGACTGACCCTCGTCAGTCTGGTTTCAGAGCCAACACAACACCAATTCAGCTTGTTTCTTAGTAGTTAATGGTTACGTTAATGACTGTAAGAAACATGTGCATTCAAAGATGCCTGCAGACATCTGCACTGAATCCCCATGTAAGCACCATGTTAGCACTGAGCGACTACCAGCCCACCACCCGTTAGTGCTATGTGGAAGGTAAAGAAAATGCACCCTTCATGCTGAACCTTGCATAACAGCATCCAGAGATTTCATAGTTCACTGTACCATCATCTTTATCTTCATTATTGTGAACCCGTGAACACAGCAACACAACACAGTGGAGACTCTGAGTTGAACTTGATCACAGAGCAGACTACACAGACTCCCAGATTTCCCTCCCTGCTGACTGTTGACGTGTTGAAACTTAATACAGTTCACAGGTGATTCAGCTGAACTTGAATGCACCATCAGTTCCTGCCTGATGTGAGCTTTACCTGACTGGCTGCTGGACCTGAACGCGTCACTGTTCTGCTTCTTACTGAGTCTGAGATCTGCCCAGACACAAACTGTGAGACATCAACCACGTGTCACAGAGACATGAACAGTTAGCAGCAGCTGGTTTTCCACTCACAGTGTTGTCATCAGGTGGTCTCTGGTTCCCTGGAAAATGAAACACACAGTGACACTCACAGTTTGTGTTAACCAGCCTTAACTAACGTTGGAGTGGATTTTCTCACCTCGAGGTCTGATGAGGAGAACAGTGATCACAGTGATGAGGAGTTCAGCCACATGCATCATCAACATTATGTAGGTCAGAGCAAAACAATCTGTAACGAGCTGTGGAGAAGAAATGAGAGGAAACATGTTTTAAAAAAAACAAGATTTAAAAAAAAAACAACAAAAAACAAAAGAGCAGGTTTATGTGTGAGCTGTGGAAATAAAATCCCAGCAATAGAAGATAAATAAAAGATGATCAAGTTGCACAATGAGGGTCTCATAAAACAAAGGTGAATCATGAGTTGTAAGTTTCTGTCCAAAATGAAAAGGTCAGAAAAACACCTACATCTACACTAACAACCTCACAGGAGATGTCGGCTGTTGTGATCGTCATTGTGAAGACCGGGACAACCACACAAAAATGAATCTGCAAACACTGATACTGTATGTAGTGTTTTAAACATCTTCACGTTTGACCGCAATTATACGTTTGCACAAGTGCATAAATATCGGAATCATGTCGGATTCAAATTAGTGAATGGATCTGAATAAAGGAGATTACACAACACTGGAGCAGTGGAAAGAGAGCCGTGTCAGATGTGAAGTCTCTACTTTGTTGAGTGATTGTTCTGTTTCCATTTGGTACAGCTGAATATGAAATTAGATAAAACAGGAACACAATAAACTTATCATCGTCCTCCTGGCCAATCACTGGTGAAGATGGAGACATTGAGAGAGAAAGACAACATGAGTCAAATTAACTTCATCACTGTTATTATTGTAATTTTTCAGTGTTTTGTTCTAACAGACGGTTTGATGTAAATACTCACTGGTAACAACAGACAGATAAAGCAGCGCCTCTTGTCGTCGTCCTAATTCGTAAAAAAAAAAAACATCTGCGGATGTACAGACCAGCATCCTCACGTGTGACTCTCACGTATCTTCCCTCCGTTCAACCAGGCCTACAGCTGAGTCTTTTGAACCGCTGAAGATCCAGGTCGGACTGTCACATTTACCCTGATCATCTCTGTCATTTTTGATCAAGGCAGAGTGACTTCATCTCCATCTCTGACAATGGAGGAGAGACGTAGTCCTGTGACAGCTGTTCAGAAGATTAGAAAGAAACATGAAAAAATAAATGAAATGTTAATATCCAACTCCAACAAGTGCTCCAACAAAACCACCATAGAGGTCACTTGTCTCTGCCCTTGGATATGACCCGTATGGTACCAGCTGCAGGCATACTGGACCTTCATCGTCTCAGAGTAGGACTGTCTTTACAGTCAGTGCGATGTTAGATAAAACTACAACAGACGTTTGTAAATGTATCTTATCCTTGATTTAAGACTCCATTAAACTCTGTTAACATCAAACAAACACACTCAGCTGTTCTAAGGTTGTAGTTACTAAAGCACCAACAGTAAAGTCTTCTAATGTTCTCTAAAAAATAAAGAGATTTTAATCCATTTATTCCACTTGAGTTCAACCATCGTGCTTCTGTCTTGTTTTCACACCTTCGACTGAGAGAACACATTAACTAAGGCTTCTTCAGGAGAGGCGTTTACTTCCCTGTCACTTCCTTAATATGACTTGAGTCTTCTTTTCCCATCTTTCAGTCGTGTAATTGATGTCGTCAGAGTGTATGAGCTTCTCATCTCTGAATTCTTGTAGATAACAAAATATCAAAAATCCAGATGTTTTTACAACTTAGCATCAGACTTTGCTGTGAAACATTAGAAACATTGATATGAGCTGATTGTTTTCATTCATTTAACACTTGATGTTACACAACACTTTTGCCAGTGATGTTTACATCATTCTAAAAGGAGGAAGATTGAAGAGGATGAGTGGCCGACATAGTTGTGCAACTGTTGTTGCCCCAAAACACAGTTGAGTGTAGAGTTCAAGGTAATGTTTGACATCATACATAAATGCAGAAGTGAATCACCCACCAGTCTTTGACGCATGCAGCTGATGGTATACAAGATAGTCATACTGGGAAACAACAAATATGATGATATTTTTGTGTTTTTTTAAAATTGTTGCTTCCTTGTTGCAGCTCAGTATTTTTTTAGTATTTACCACTCACAAGCTGCAGTGCTAAGGTTGCTAGCAGGAGATCGCTATGTTTCGAAGACTCAAACAGTGATTTTGTAAGAAACCTGGCTGATGCTGCTGCCTCTGCTTGTTGATATTTCACTTGTGTAATCTCCTTTTTGTCTGCTCTGCATATGAGACCAGTTTGTTACTGTACATTGAGAAATTGCTTCAAATTGCTAGAATAAATGCACACATAGTTGTTATCCATCTTTCAGTTCAAGCAGTGGTCATCGGGGATTGACTGCGCCCACAAAAGGTCAGCGCAGCTTGGGTAAAGTTCTACAAATTTGAACCTGATGGGAATGTCATTCATTTGGTTCAGGCTGGGGTGCGTTCAAGTACCAGAGTGCACCTGTGACGTGTACACATATGCACATGCGCAGTTAACTTGTGGCTTGTTTCGAAGGTTATATAACCACTTTTCCTATACAGTGGACAGTTTACATACGAGTAAACTGTAAGTGACCACACAATCAAATGTTAGACTGACTTTATGAATAGTTTCGTCAGGTCAGAGAATATTACAAGTAACCTTTCATGTCCAGCAGCAAATTTGTAATGTCTCTTTGCAAATGCATCACAAATAAAATTAAAAAAAAGAGTGAACGATGAGTAATAAGATGTTTTGCTGCCTTTTCATCTTTAATAGTCAACAATAGCTAGGTAGAGAAAAATATTTAATTCAGTGTACAGCTCAAAGGCTACCAGCAGCTACCAACAACTTTAAAGGTGGAATGTTTTCATGTGTGTTACTTGATGCATGAGTTGACGTTTTGAATCAATAAGTACACCTTAAATGTCAATATATTTTTATTGGCTCTCTTGCTGGACATTCACTTTCAAGCACTTCCTCACTTGGAGAAAAAATGGTGGAGCGTTGTTCCTGTGTGACCTACCAGCACTACACCTATGTTGGTGAAGTGAGCCTGGTCCGGGATCACACAGACACACTGCAGGCTCTCATGCACACCCTGAAGCATTGGCACACAGAGGTAGAGAGACTGACACAAGGTGTTGACAGAGTCTGAGACCAGACTTGGCTTCAGCCAGGATGTGTGCATGTGCAGAGTGCACACAGAATGTTTTTATTGATGAACCTTGACTGCTCCTGTGTAACAAATTGAAATGCATGGCCTTGAAAACCTTGCGTTTCCTGTGCTTAACTTGATTGAGGAATCACTTCTTGCATGCTGCTGTTTGGATTTGTTACATTAGTCTGTAAATAGCATGGAGGGTTTTGGCCACTTGCAAAATCAGCACAAGATAGTTTTGAGAGTCCAGCTACAGTATTACTATTTCAAATGGATTTCAGAACTGTTACTGATTTATTATCTTACTCTCACTACATTTATTGGAACACTATGGACCAAAGGCAAAACTTCCTGACTTTTACTTGATTTTAAATCAGTCAAATCAAGAGTTTTTTATTTTATTTGTTGATATAACTATAAACAGGACATTGACATAAAAGTGTGATCTCTGTTCTGTCACTAATCTACAAACTGTAGATAAAGGATAACCAAGAAATGTTTGTCTTTTAGGGCTGTCTCCTAAAACTCAGGAATTGGTTTGCCAGGAACTATCTCAGCACAGGCGCAGGCGTTGTCACAATGTTTATCATACAGGTACAGTACATTCAGTTTTCTCATTTTCCTCATTATAAGGCTTTTGAGCAAAACTCAACCCTTAAACTTCATATGGTACAGTTAGTGATGTCCCAGCAGGTGTTGGACATTAGCTATCGGATTAGCTACCTGAAGACCTGATGTGAGTTAACTTATTCAACTGTGGCCAAATGTGAAACATGCCTTGACATTTAAACTGTCAGAGTAGTGTGGCTGCAGACTAAAGATTCATTCATTCGTATTGAATTGCTTTTTTGAGGTAGTAACAATAGCTGCCATGTTGGAAGGCATGAGCTTTGTGCCTTTTTAAACTCATGATGTGGCTTTCTCGACAGACAGAACTAAGAAGGCATGGTTTATCCGTCTTGTGCATGACATCAGTTAATTTCAAGCCGTCTAGCTAATAACTACATCCTCTTAGCCACTTTTGGAGCAGTGGAACAAACTTTAAACACATTATGACCCTCTAAAGATGATATGGTGAACGTGTAACATTAGCATTCATTTGAAATCATGTTTCTTGGTACACAGGCAATCTAAGTCACTCTCACTTTTGCTCTGTTTTGGTCTCCAACAACTGCTGAGAAATATAACATATCTGGCTCTTAAGCTGATAAATGCTCCAGCTATTCTATAACTGTGTCTGTCTGCTACTTTGTGCTAGACAGGAAGTGAACTGTTTAACCATTAACCATTGTTAATACAAAAATATTGATAAGAGCAACTTTAAGTTTCCTCATTTGCACAGTGGTTAATTCCATTCTGTAAATTGCAGCTAACATTAGTATGTTTGCTTACTTGTAGCTTGAAGCCAGTGCACTATATTCTTTCTCAGTTTGTTATTAACTTTTATATGTTTTTATATTTCATGTCTTTGCAAAACATTGTTTGATAATAAACTTGTTTTTCTTTGTTTACAGTTTGTCTGTCTGTCTATCACCATCCCTCTCTTTTGCCACTTCAGGCAACGTGGACTGGGTTACCTGTAAAAAAAAAAAAAAAAAAAAAAAAAGGACCTATAAAACTGTATGTGCAATGTACAGTGACTTTCTGCAAGTCAACAGTTTCCCTGTATCAACTTTTTATTAATTTCTTATGAATAACCAAAAGGTTGCTGCCATTTTCAGTCATCAGAGAGAAGAGCCAACAGGACAAAAAGCTGTTTGACCAAGAATGAGCTGAAGATGGCAGCTATAATCACTATTGATGATATCATACGAGGTGACAGACTATTCAATGTAATATGGAAAACATGATAGAAGATGTTTAACTAGTAGGTAAGGTATGACATGATTATATAAGACAAGATATGATCATAATTAAACTCCTTTATGCATTTGTGAGTTTCAATCATTTTCATTTCACTTTGTATTTTTATTTTGTGCTTTCAGTTTTAGCAAGTAGCTAGTGCTTTCAATTTTAGTGATTGGAAAGGAAGATAGTTAAACTTGTGAGTGCTCTTTTGCTCTGCTTAATAAATAAGTACACATGCTGATTTAAACCTACACATTTGAGTTGTTTACATTTGTGTGTGATGTTTTTTTCTGTGTACAGCCGATGGTCTCTGTGAAACAGCTTGAACCACATGTCACAGTAATGTTTAAGATCCTCTCAGTGTCAGTGAGTCTTATTTTCAGACAGTGTTATTTGACAGAGCTGATTTTGTAGCTGCCAAGAAATGCACTTAGATACATTTCTGTGCATTTAAAGGTTTATTTCACTGCTGTTCTTACCTCACCATTGAACCCAAACATTTTTTCTCCGACTATTCCCATCTCTGACACACTCCTGTCAGGTTTTAAATTGTTTCAGTTTGTTAAGTATCAGCTTTGATTTAGCTGATTGGGCTGATTCTGGTCCTTGGAGCTATAGGTCATTCCTGATACTATTTGCAAAATGGATGTTTTAAGTATTTCAGATACATCAGTTATTAATCAGTTATTAAACTGCATTCACAAAATGTTGGCAAAATGTGAAGAACAAGAAGAACACCAATTATTCTGACTTGGGAGAGTTTATGCAATATTCCGAGATGGGTAGCCCTCATGATAACCCTGTTGTGCATAAATTAGCTACTTTTGTTGTGTTACATATTTGAAGCACTTAATTTCCAAGTGAAACTAGATGGAAACAAACAGTGTATAGAAAATAAATTATAAAATTAAATTTAAAAAACTTAAGGTGTGTAAACATTTACTTTGATGTAACTGCTGCCATTCTGCCGTCAATTAATTGATGTGTGTGAAATTATTTTTGCCAAGTGGGAGCTATAATCTGTGTCAGAAATTCCCTATGTCTCTGATTCTGAGCTACAAATCAGAGGCCAACATGAATAGTCAACAAGCAATTCTGCTCCTCTGCTCTTTTTCATTCAGACATGGAGCTGATTTTTATAATAACCTCATGCATTTTAAACATAGAGCTTTTTATGTGTTCCTGGATAAGTGGAGCGTCGCTTCTTCTGCAACAATGAAAGTAAAAGGACCATCGCCTTGTGTGATGATCTGCCAGGAGTGGCTTCTCTCCTGCGCGCGTGTGTGTGTGTGTGTGTAGACACTCAGATTTACAACACAACACAACTGTAATTGTAATTCAGCAGTATCTTGTCAATTATACCAGTGATGGAAAGTGAATAAAAATATTTCAACCATTAAGAAAAAAATCATAAGTCTAATACTCATCAAAGTTATTTTGAAGAAAGTGAATAAAAATATTCTTATTGTCCTAGCTTTGCCATGAACAAACACAATAGTATACTTGCAACAATGTCCAAGTGAGTGTCTTCTTTTAAATTTAGTCATGAAATCATTGCCTTTCTCAGGACATGCCTCTAAGTGCCGCAGAAACTGTGCGTCTGTACAGGGAACGCCGGAATGCAAACCCCAAAAGAAGAGTGGCATACCTTCAAAAAGTACAAGGGAGTTACTGACTCCTCCCCAACTCCAGAGAGTCCACCACAGCCAGGGCCCTCAAGGTTAGCAGGAATGCAGTATTACAATACAGAAAACATAACTACAAATTTTTATATATCTTGCTATCATATAGCATCTTTTATTTGTTTATGTTGTTTGTTAGCTTGTAACTGGCAGCGGCTGACATGCTGACACAGTGTTAGTAGTTGTGCTGATGCTAACTCTCGCTGTACTGACAAGGTTTTGGGTTTATTTAGCCCCGCCCCCTGTCCCCACAAATTGACAGCATTGGTTCTTTTGGTTTGTGACGTATGAAACCCTGGCTGTCTGAATCTTTTTTTATGACACTGTCATTGGTTCACTGCAGTTCAAGATGGAAACACTCAGTCATGGTGTTGACAAGGTTAAACAAGGTTAAAATTAGATTTTCATTGGAGGAGGTCTTTGCTAAAGATTTCATTTTCATATTTTGTCTGTTCTTCTTTATGTGTCCACTCTGTTATGTGCTGTCATGCATTGGTCCACCCCGTCATCTTGATATTTTTAAATTATAATTCAATCATACTTTGAAATATATGTCTATAACCTACTGTGTTCAGTAACTGAGTGGGGGAAATAATATGCACTTAAAAAAGTATCAAAATATCAGAGTTTTCTCTAAATAAAACAACTAAGAGGTATGAAATGTGTTTCTTTAAAAGGCGATGGTTTACATTAAATATTTTATTTATTTATAATTTGAAAGCAAATAAACCTGTTTAGGAAAGGGACATCATACCTTTCAGAAAATGTAATTTTTTTCATCAAAATATTGAATTTAAATCATATTTTACAGTACATATTGTGTAAGGCCAGGACAGGGTGGGCATATCTGTTAGGTTATTCTACGAATAATGGCCAAAAATTTTCTGAAAATATGTATGGGACCTCAGCTAACATATATTTCTACAAGTTGAGTGTCTACTATTTATAATAAAACATAAAGGGAAGAGGAAATTGAGACCAAAATGTGTGAGTAGTGTGATGGCTGAAAGGCACTCTATGGTGATACTGACCCTCCAATGTTTTTGAAGATGTGAGAACACCCGTCAGCTGTCTTCTCAGCAGGTCACAGTCTGGCTGCAGTGTTGCAGTCAGTGTTGCTCCAATGACTGTTTATAAAGATGGACAACATGACAGCTCCCTAAAAGTGAAGCCAAAACATCTTGATCACTCCATGGTGACTGGCTACAGTAAATGTCATAAGCCCCATAACGTTTATCAAAATGCGACAAACAACACAGGCAAGGAGCCAAACAGAGTAATTACCAAAGGGCTTGCCAAAATAAGACCGTTCACTATAGGATGACAGCAGACACTGATTGGTCAGTCACCCTGGGGCTGGACTGCAAGCTGCTGAGATGACCAAGGGTCCAAAAGGACAAAAATGTCAGGGGAAATTTCCAAGCATACATTATTTGGATAATCTGACCACAAGCAAAAAATCTAAATGGTGACCTCACATGAAAAAATATCAGAATTTCATAAAAGGTTAAGTTAGGCTATGTACATGTAATCTCATGAGCATGAAATATTTATAATGTTGCTGTATGTCCTTAGTATTTGTTGCTCTTCTGGATTTTGAGAGTGTTTCCTTTAATGTTTTGCTTCCTCTGTTGTATGTGTTTTGTCCTTACAGTGCAACAGATAAACTACTAAACTCTAAAGTACTAAACTCTGCAAAAATCCTCCTTGGGTATTAGTCTTTTGATTAGCCACTTGAAAATTCAATATGGCTGCAATTTCTGGTGAGAAAAATATTTTTTTGCAATAAGTTCACACACAGTTTTCCCATATGAATGATCCAGGTGTCAAATGATACATTTTAACAACGTAGACGTCACATTAATAGTCCACATACTGTAAAAAGGAAGCTCAACATGACAGTCCCACTACTAGCAAGCTAGTTAGCTTATAGTGGCTACCTTTGACAAAGGACACACTGAGGCAAGTTTTCATTTTGAAGTCCAAGCTTTAAGGTAAGTAAGCTTTAAATGTTTCAATTAACAAGGTTTGTTTGCTAACTTCTGAGCCAGCTCGCTAACTAGCCTAGCGCGCTAGCGAGGTAGTATAATGAAGTAGTTAGCTTATATCAGCTTTGACAAATCGCACACTTAGGTAAATATTCATGTTAAGGTCCAAGCTTTAAAGTAAGGTGTTTTAAGTATGTACATTTGAAATGTCAAAGGGTGGAATTAAATTGACATTGTTTGTATGCTAACTTGTGAACTTGCTCGCTAACTAGCCTAGCGCGCTAACGGGTTAGCATAACAAGCTAGCGAGCTAATGTTAGCTATTTGCTTTTACAGAAATTTTGGTTCATTAATAATAAATGGTTTGTAATTACATTGTGTATTATTAATATTCACATTAAATATTAGAAATTACAAATAAAGCTGTGATGAAATTCAACAATCGTAAATCTGACATTGATCAGTCATTAAATTTCAAATTCATTGAAATCTGTCCTATGTGTAAAATTCTGTGCAGGAAATGGTGGCCATCCTGAAACTTCAAGTGGGATTTTTGAAATTAATGACTCCAGAGGGATAAACATACCAGTTCTGTTGCTTGTTAAAAGATTATAGGGGTCATGCACCCATAGACTGGGGCAACAGTATTCCAACCACAGAAAGTGCAGTTGAAATGAAATATCATTTCAACTTCAACTTCAATACTTCACATAACATAAAGCATTTAACACAAATGGCTGGTGTGTTTTAGATATCATGTGGCTATGTGTGGCTCCTGTCAGCCTGTCAAAAATAAGTCAGCTGGAACAAAGTCATTCAGAGACAGCATTTTTAACCAACACAGCCTGCTCTTGTCTGCGTAGCAACAGTAACTAAGGGGGCAGGTGTTGGTATGCACTCATTTGAAATTGAACCATTTGAAAATACAGCTCTCAAAACATTGAGTACATCTGAATAAAAAACACGATACCTGTCGTAAACTCACAGGTAACAGCTAGTTAGTTTCAGTGGTTAGGTAGAAATAAAAATGGATGTGAATTCTTCTTCAAAGATGAAAGATGGAAGGACTCCCCCTCTTCGTCGGCGCAAAACCTCAGGTATTTAAAAAGTTAGTGTTAGTAGTAGTAGCTAGTTAGTATAGATAACCACCAGCCTGTTTCAATCTCTGGTTTAAAGAAGAGACAGATAAAGATAAATAGATGACCTGGTGGCCCTCACATCACACATCAAGAAGACCCTGGAGTGGCTGCTTCTCCACCTTCTGAGGCCACAGGTTGAACATGCACTAGACCCCCTACAGTTTGCCTCCAAGGAACATATTGGAGTGGATGATGCCGTCCTTTACATGCTCCACCGGGCCCATTCTTAAGTGGATGAGCCAGGTAGTTACATGAGGATTATGTTCTTTGATTTTTCAAGTGCAACACCATTCAACCCCACATTCTTAAAAACAAGCTGGAAGGGATGGGGGTGGATCCCAGCTTCTTGTCTGGATTACGTGACAAGACGACCACAGTACGTCAGGCTGGGTAACTGTGTCTCAGGGACAGTGATGAGCAGCACT